TCTTCAGAACCAGCTTCCCAAATGTTTGAATCACAAGTTGATGGTTTCTTTAGTAACTAAGATTGCAAGTAAATTAAACAGGCTGTAAACTAAAACGCTAAGGTTGTAAACAATGATGAGATAAAGCTAAGGTAAAGATTTCCCCTATTGATGGAATCCCTTCTGTTTATGCTTCATACAAATGTACCAACACTTCTCTATCAATCATGAACGCTCGTCTTACCATAAATCTCTCCCGAGTAATCACAGTAATATACTATTGCACTCTCCCGAGATACACTAGCTAGCTTTAATTAACACAGTTCACTTAAGATTGCACCCAAGGCTTCGTTATCCCTAATCCCGCCTTTAAACCCGCAGTTATAGATTCCTCTTATACTTTAGGAGTGGTGTTATTCAACAATAACCTAAATATGCACTCTCTCCCGAGTTATGCACACTAAATAGGCACAGCTAATTGAGGATCCTGTCAATTAACTACAACAAGAACATAGTTGAATAAATAAAGATTGAAACTAGCAATTTGTATTCACATAAACAAGAAGTTCATCCCCCAATAGGTTCCATCAAAATCTTAGACAAAAGATTGAGCTACTCATAACTATGGGTGAACAAACTAAGATAAGATCCATTATAAATTAGCAATCAAAATCAAAGAAAAGAAGAAAGATGTTTTGGGTGATCCCTCACAATTGTTTTTCTTGCCAAGATACTCTAAAAATCAATACATGCCTCTCTTGGGAGAAGTCTAGTGTTTAAAATAGGGTTTTGGGCTAAAAATCCCGTGTTTTGCACTTTAGTCCCTGAAATTTCCGCCTCCGGCCGCGGTGCTACCGCGGTCGCGGTCAAACCGCGGCCAAACATGGCCTCTGATTCTTCAATTGTCTGCGTCTGCACTCTGCCGCGGTCGCGGTGAAACCGCGGTTTTTCATCCTGTTCTATTTGGAATTTGGAAAAACGTAAAACATGAAAGTTGTAGCCCTTTGAGTTATATTTCCAACCATATATTATGGAGCCAAAATGGAGTTCTGAGTAAAAAGTTATGTGCATTTTACTAGACAGTGCGCAATATGCCTCATCGAGTCTTCGTTTGTTCTCAACTATCAAATTTGACCCCCGAACACGATCCCGGCTTAATTCCTTGTGCTTTTACTCAGACTTCAAAGCTTCAAATCACTTAAATTCATTCCATAACATCTACATAGCTCGGAATCACATCTACAAGGCATAAAACACATAATTAGTGCAAAACATTAGCGATTAAAGCGCAAACTCAACTAAAGTGCAGTAAATTAGAGTGTAATAATCAACTAAAACACGCAATTATAGCCTATCATCACTAGCCAAAAAATATATAGAATATATATATTATACATATAAATATATAAGAATGTATATTTTATCGGCTATTATATTTATTTCTATTTTAATTAGGTTATTATTTATTAGATTGAAAATAAAAAAATAAAAGAACTTGGAATAAGAAAATATTTTTGAAAATTGTGTTTTTCGGTCATTGTGATTTTTGTGTGAGTTAGTGAAAGTTTTATAATTTTTATGTGAAAAAACAAAGTTATATGACTTTTATGAAAAGGAATCACAATTATATGACCATTTGTGAATTAATTTCTACGCTAATTATAAGTAAATATGAGTCTTTATTTAAAATCTTAACATCTTGGATAAAAACGCCATTTACCATCCAACTTTTTTGAAAAAGGTACATCCGGCTAATGGTTTGTTCATTTTTTGGAAAACTGTATAGAAATAAGAATATTACCCTATTTGCTATGAAGCCAGTTTCATTTTCATAACTTAGAAAGGAATGATCCAACTCTACCGGTTCATATACCTTATAATGGGTTCTTCCAATACTTTGATAATTTAACTATTTTCCGTGTATGTGATGCTGCTTAGTACATCTGATTTATTAGATATTGGTTCTTGACTCATTTTTCACAAAGCTTTTTAAAAATAATATTGATATTTTTTACAATATTGTGAATTACAAAACTTGGCGTACCACGTGCAACGCACGTGCCGAGAGACTAGTATATATGTATATATTAGGGGCGGCTCAATGAAGTTGGTAGTCTAAAACAAAACTTTGATGAGATGACTTATTTTATTTTTTGTAATTTAAAAAAAAAAACCTTATGAGTATATATTTTTATTTAAAGTCTATTTTTATAGCTCTTGGAGATGGAAAATAATGAGTATTAATTTTCTATAATACATTTCTTCTAAAAATTACCAATCCACTTTGGTTATCCAAAAATATATGTAATCCATTTATTTTTTCTTGTGACATGTTGATCTAAGGTAAGACTTTAGTAATTTTAATTTTGAAAAACTCTTTTTCGATGATACAACTATTATATGAATTGGTGAGCTAAATTTCGTTCCTGAAAAATAATAATCAAGACAAGAAATATAGCGATAAATATTATATTCGATTTCAAGTGATGGGGTTACAATCTCTAAAATATCTCTAAATCTAAAGAGATGTAATCATCTGATTCTTCTCCTCACGGACGATGGTTAAAGAGCTTGAGAGCTTGATCTTGAACTTGACGGATTTCAGATTTGTAGTACGTCACGAACTATTTGAAGGTTGTCACGAACCAGGATTTGGTGTTGGGTTATTACGAACGGAAGATTTGAAGTCGTCCGCCTATGATTTGAGTTCGCCTTTGGAATTTGACCACAGACGATGATTGCAGATATGGATGGAGACCTTGATGCTACTCTTTAGAGCTTCTTTAGCCTTTTCTTCTACTTACTTGCTTCTTTTTTAGCCTTCTCCTTTAACCCCTTTATATAGGCGTGGGGTGGAGTAGTCTCCAAGAAAACCCTAGTGGATCATTGGGCTTGAGGCTTATGGGCCGACCCATTTGATAGAAGACCAACTAATGGGCTAGTCCAATGGTATATTGGACCTTTATTTAAATCAATTTAATTGGATTTAAATAATTGACTCATTTATATTAGCCCATGATATTTATTTGGACTACTATGTATTTAATATAAGATAAAATCCAAATTACTTGTGGATTCAAATTTGTAATAAAATTTTAATTGTCTACAGTTAACACTATTTTATAAGCATTATAGGCATTTACAAAAGAATAATATTTTTATATGATTGAATATATCAATCAAAGTGTTATCTTCTTCTTATACAATTTTTTCTAATACTTTTAATTTGGAAAAATCAAAATCATCAATATCATAGTGACTATAATGTTTTAAGAAACATTTAAACTTAACAAATTTTGGTGGAAAAATAATAGAAATTTAAACAATAAAATAGAAAGAAAAATAAATTTGATCCTTCAAAAAGTATCTGGCCATCTCTACTTTTTCCAGTTTTATGCAACTTTATAGCCTTGTTGAAAATTTTTAATGTCGTTATCGTCTCGCAAATCCCTTATAATAAGAATTGCTAAGGAGTTAAACTCCCTTGCTTATTTTTTTTTTATTTGGGTTAATATATTACTTCTTAGTCATATTGATTAAATTATCTTGTCTGATTATATGATGAATATATTAGTAAAGTTTGATATGCATATTGTGTTGGTCTTAAAAAAAATCTATGGCTGAAAAACAAAATAGGATGAGAGCAAAAAAAGGTAAAAATAGCACGGTATAACCAGTTTTCGGACTGGTCATTCAAAAATAATCAGCATTTACCAAGTTAATGAAAAATAGTCACTATTTTGCTGCAATAGAGACCGGTCCAACATAATATACTGGAGTTTGGTACACCTGTATATGAACTCCAGCATATTATGTCGTATCGGTATACTTTGTTGGCTCCAGTATAATATACTGGAGACTAGAGCACCGGTGCTCCAAACTCCGGTATATTATGTTGGACCGGTATACTGGCTGGAACTCCAGTATATTATGCTGGAGTTCTAATGTACTTATGATGGAGTTCCAACATACTTATCTTGGAACTCCAGTATAATATGCTGGAGTTCAAGTATACTTATGCTGGAACTCCAGCATAATATACTGGTGTATTTTTCGGGTTTTGAACAGTGTTTTCGCTCAGATTTATCTTTACATGAAAAGAGGCTAAATTTCGATTACTTTTGAAACTGAGCTATTTTTGAACGACCAGTTATAAATTTGGCTATTTTTGAATTACACCCCAAAAAAAGAATACAAAAGAAGGGGAATGTAGAACAAAAATGACGGACAAAAATAATTTTCCTGCTGAGATTTTCTGTTTTTCAGGCGGGTTACTATTTGGGGCCAGAAAATCAAGTATTAGGGTGGATTTATTTAACTGGAGTCAAGATTTAAATTAGATCAGTAATAAACTCCACATGAAATTTAAATATTTTTTTTAATTTAGTGTTGCTGAAAATAAAAGTAGGGGTATTTTTGGACTGATAGACGAAGGGAAAAATATTTATAGCCCCGAAGCAATATTGAGAGGCAATTTTAGCCCTCTTTCGCTAAATTAATTTAGGAAGACCACATAGAAATGGAATCACTTGAAAAGAACTTTACGGTATACCGGCTGTCATTAGAGTAACTAATTATTGGGGAAATTTAGCAAATACTCATGGGCGGAAAATATTTACCGGCCCCTAAACATAAACCAAGTCAATTCAAATCAAGTCAAGCCAATTTAAGTCAAGCTAAATCAAACTAAGCTAGGTTAAATGGGTAAAAAAAGTTGAGATGAACGTGGGGTAATTAATTTTAATTGGGTAGGTATATATAATAAATAATTTTCAAATAGATAGGAACATGCTTAAGTACAGACAAAGACTTGGTTTACTAAATTGTAGTGGTGATTGAATTTCTTTTTCTATTTCTTAAATAAAAACTTGGTTTAGTTAATTCAGCAAGTGAAGTCAACTGGAGATGAAGAATAATCAATAATTCAGCATAGAAGTCAACTGGAGATGAAGAATTCCACATCTAATCTTCTTTATATGCAGCTATTGTAAGAAGATTTCATCGCTAAGAAATTATTAACCTTACACTCCGATTACAGTTTTGCTTTACCCAATAATATATATATATATATATATATATATATGGCAGATGCAGTGGTGAATTTTCTGCTGGAGAACCTACTGCAGCTAGTCACTAACAATGTCAAGCTAATTTCAGGTGTTGAGAAAGAGTTTCAGAATCTGCTAGAAGAAGTTCGCCGCCTAAAAGCTTTCCTAGATGATGCTGCAAAATACCATAGCGATAGCAGTCTGTGGAAACAGTTGGTCAGAGACATCAGAATTACAGTGCATAGAGCTGAGGATGTCATTGACAAATTCCTTGTTCAGGCGAAGCTACATCAAGAGAAGAATAAAGTGAAAAGGTCTTTTGATTTATGCCATGTTAGAAAAGTTTGGGATCTGGCAAAGGATATTGAAGCAATTCATCAAAATGTGAAGGAATTTCGCCAAAATAATCAAAAGGCTTTTCAGCCCAAACCAATGCTCGATCTACCACAAAGAGTTACACGGGAGCCTCAGGTAACGCCTGAAACCCAAAAGTATTCTTTTTCCTTCTTCTCTCTTTATCTTGACATTTATGGAGTATAAGCAGGGGCGGATTTAGGGGGCGGAAGGAACTTCACCCGAACCCCTTTCGCCTGAAAATTAGGTAAAATTAATTACAGGAAAATGAAAGTTAGCTTAGCTTCATTTAATTTATGGTGATTTTCCGGACCTTGAGCCTAACTTAGTCCCAAAAGCTAGCTCAAGAGAGGTGAGGATTACTCAAGAACAGGAAATCCTCATACCACCAATATGGGACTCAACAAATTTTAATCACAAATGTTACTCAACATTGGGAAGCTAATGACCAACACCTCTTCTATCTCATTTCAGATAAATCTATAATTTTTTCCTGTAAGTAGAAAGCTGTAGCAATCAACCTTTTGTGGTTTTCTGTTCTTAAGAAAAATGTTCCATATTGAAATCTCAGGAAAGTCACTTGAAAAGCTTTGTTTTTTGAGTTTAAGTTTTATGTGATGTATGTATGTTTTCGCTTGGGCCTCAAAACAAGCAAAAATATATTGGAGTGGCTTCCAAGCCCGTCGCGATGGATGGTTTTCTTATGCAACCAATAAAAAACAAGAACAAATTTAACAAGCAAAAAACAAAGTCGAGTCTTATTCAGGTTTTCTGATCAAAATCTTGATAAACTTATTGAATTTCTGATTTTTTTATTTTATAATGCTATACTTCAAATAAAGACCGAGTCAAGGTAAAGTTCTGCTTTACTTTATCAAATAAAATTGTTCTTAAGAACCTAGGCGACTTGCTTTAAAGTGCAAAAACGTATTTTACAATGAGGTAACTATAACTAAATCTCTTAATATATAATTAAATATTAATTGAAAATCTTGTAAAATGATAACTAAACTACTATTATAGGTTAATATTCACTGATAACGTAAACATCTAGATACTATCCGTATAAATATAGCTAAAATCTTTATATTTTATGACTCAGGTGGGATATAAATGAAGTTGTTTTCTATTATTAATGCAGATATTCTCGCTCATCAAATATTGCTAGTGTATTTTCACCCCTTAACGACTATGAAAAATTGCCATGGTGAGTTAATGTGTTAAAAAAGAATGGGGTAGACCAAAATTTACAAGAAAGTAAGTTGTCTCGAAAGACCTACAATCTCTTAGAATCCATGGAGACTTATAGTAAAAAATAAAGCATAATGGAACAAAAATATGGCAACAATTAGTTAGGAATATGCTTTAGTCATGTGAGTAGGTGTATGTTCTTATGCTTTCTATGAATCTTTAGCCCTTTTAGATTTTTATATGCCAGTAAAAGAAATAGAGAACTTCTTGTGCTTTTACTTTTCTTGATTTGATATTATGTTGGTTTGATATGAGTTTAAATGGAGAAACAAGGTCACTAAGGATTCATATGCCGACCTCAACTTGTTTTGGTCTGAGGCTTAATTGTTATTGTTGTTGTTGTTCCTTTGCTATTAATAGCTTGAAATGGGTGCTCAAGTTCTAAGTGGAAAAGATCAAAATATTCTCAACTCTGATTTTTGTTATCCACTCTATTTGTTCATCTTAATAGGATACACTGTTGGAGTATAAAGAAGTGGTTGGCTTTGATTACGAAGCGGAATATGTGATCAAACGACTTGTTAAAGGATCAAAGGATCTGGAATTTGTCCCTATTGTGGGTATGGCTGGAATTGGCAAAACAACATTGGCAAGAAAAGTTTGTAGTCATTCTCAGATTTCAAATAATTTTTCCAAGAAAATTTGGGTTTATGTCGGCAGGTCATACGAACTAAAGGGTATCCTTTCTAAGATTCTCCAATCGTTGACGGAACGCATTGAAGAATTTCGCTATAAAGATGTGAACGAATTAGCTGAAGTAATATGTGATTTTATGGCTAAAGAAGGTGGTAGATACCTCTTTGTCCTGGACGATGTGTGGGCTAAAGAACTTGTGGTTGTGGATTTGGTCAAAAGAATTCTCCAAGAAAACAACAGAGGTCATCGGATCATGATGACCACTCGCGACGAGTATGTGGCTAGCTATGCCAGTGAACATCCTCATCGTCTGAAATATCTATCCGACGAAGAAAGTTTTCAATTGCTGGAAAAGAGAGCTTTTGGTAATGAAAGATGTCCTGACGAGTTAGTAGAACTTGGAAAAAGTATTGCAACAAAATGTAGCGGATTACCACTTGCAGTAGAGTTAAGTGCCGGAGCCTTAAGATCTCGTCCGAACAAAAATTATTGGGAAAGAATCGAGAAAAATGTGGGGCTGTACCTTGTCATAGAGAATGACCCTGCAAGTTGCTGGGAAATTGTGGAAACCAGTTACAACATTTTGCCCCAAGAAATGAAGGCGTGCTTCTTGTATTGCTTCGCCTTTCTTCAAGGTTATTCCATCCCTGCGCAGAAATTGATTCGCTTGTGGATCGCGGAGGGACTAATAAAGTCCAGTCCGACGTGTACCTTCGAGGAGCTAGCAGAGAATTACTTGGAGGAGTTTGCTCTGAGGGGTCTAGTCACATTGTCGAGGGATGGTGATTCAATAAAAGAAATTGGATTTCATGACGTGTTGTATGAGTTCTACAAGACAGAGGCAATAATGGAGAGTGTTTTCCAAGAACTACGTCTAACACCCGATCAGAATCTTCCCTCCATACAAGATCCAGATACTTCTCGTCGCTTGTGTATTGAATCATCTGTTCTGCGTGATTTTCTCTCCAGAAAACAATTAAATGCACAACATGTTAGATCTTTCTTATGCTTTTCGACAACAGAAAGACAAATCGAGTTGTCTCTTCCTGATGTTAAACTCATCTCCCAAGCATTTCCACTGATCAGGGTCTTGGAAATTCAATCTGTTAAAATTTTCCTCCCCATGTATCTTAACCAACTATTTCATTTGAGGTATATTGCTATCTCAGGTGATTTCGCGGAACTTCCTGCATCCTTTGGTAAGTTCTGGAATTTACAGTTTCTCATAGTTAATACAAGTACACCAGAGCCCACTCTTAAAATAAAAGCAAATATATGGAACTTGTCACGGTTGAGGCATTTAAAGACCAACATCCCCGCAGAATTGTTGCCCCCTCCTAACCCAACGGTTGAAGGCTCTTGCCTACAAATTCTGTCAAAAGTTGCACCAGAGAGTTGCAATAAAGTTGTGCTTGCAAAGGCCGGAAATCTCAAAAAGTTAAGTATTCAAGGGCGACTGGGAGCTTTTCTTGAGACTAACAAGGACGGATTCAGCACTTTTCAAGGGTTAGGGCGCCTAGAAAAATTGAAACTGATGAATGATATTCCTTACATGAGTGAAGCTCTTCACCTTCCTCCAGAATTATTCAGATTTTTGCGCAAACTGAAGAAATTAACTTTGTCAAATACAAGGTTTAAATGGAACGAGGCGGATAGACTGGGCCAGCTGGAATGCCTTGAGGTCTTGAAGTTGAAAGAAGATGCATTTACGGGGAAGTCCTGGAAACCAGAGAAAGGAGGTTTTAAACAACTCCAGGTCTTGTGGATTCAAAAGGCTGACCTCGAATGTTGGGAGGCTTCAAGAGATCACTTCCCAAGACTTAAGAAACTTGTTCTTAATTGTGCTAAGCTTGAGAATGTGCCAGTTGAGTTATCTCATTTTCTCCAGTCGCGCTCCTGAAAGCATCAAACTCTAGCTCATTGTATTCCCTCCTGAAACTGATTTAAAAGGTCAGTTGAGCTCCTCTTTTTTAATGAAAAAAAAAATTCTTTACTCTGCATTGCATTTTGCTCAAACATTGATTTGAGAAGTATTTTGTTTTTTGCCCATTACAATATAAATTTAGCCCCTGTTTACATGAGTATGGTCATTGTGATCATTCACTATTCTTTTCGCGTTTCTTTACTTAAAAACATATGGTTGGACCATGATTAAGAATATAAATAGCATGTCTTTTTATTCTAACATATATTAACTTCTATGGACTATGGTACTAGACTAGACAGAATATTGTGAATGAATTTCTTCCAAAACCACCATAAACTAGTGCTAGTTGATGAGAGTTAATTTGGAAACAAAAAAACGAAGTCAAATTTCTCAAGGGTATAATCTCAATTCCAATAAAATGCAATCAGGTAAAGAATGACTTGAAGAGATTCCCTTATAGGCAAGGAAACTTAATTATACTTCTGATCTCTTTTCTTTTTAACTGATTTTCCTGTAGTACATCCTCAGTTTTAACTGAGAAAGAAAACAATTCTAGTACGCATGATTTAACCTGGAAAAATTTTCAGGCATTTCATCCTCAAGTACCGTACTTTCAAGGCGCTCTGTGGCCTTATTCTGGCTTTCCAGTATCATTCTATCCAGCACCGCCCTATTGGGATGCACCGTAGCAAACCCTTGGAACATACCGTGGCTTTCTTCTGATCAATCCTTCCATAACACCAGTCCTAGTTCACCGACATTAGGAAAACATTCTCCGGATACTTTGGGGGAGAGAGAAGGAGAGAGATGTGTACTGGTTCCTAAGACATTAAGGACTGATGATCCAAATGAAGCGGCAAAAGCTCTATATTGTCAACATTAGGTATCAAGAATGAGAATGAGACTCAATTTCGTGTTAACTCATTCCAAGGAAGCAGAAGTAGTATCACTGATGTTGGTGCCGCAGCTAATTGATATAATTGTGTGTAGGAGGAGAAGCAAACGGTATACATAGAGTCTTGCTGAGGAAAGAACTGCTACTAGATCCCTCAAGTTTGCAAGTCTTAATTTATCTTTTTTGGTAGCAGCATAAGTTAGTTCTTCAAAATATAAGCATTTATAGTTTTGCAGAATGTGTACTTTGTACATAAACCTGTAGAGTTTTAATAGATAGAGAAAATAAGATGCAGCTGAAGAATCTGCAATGGTAAATCTGGAATATTTTTTGCGTTGAGATATTATATATGAAGTTTTTACTGACTTCTGATATTGATAGTTTTATTCTGAATATTTGCATTATTTTGTGATAGGTTTATCCTTGTCATTATGGACGTTCTAGTTCTTGTAATGATTCACTTATCTTGAAGGAAATGAACTATTCATGAACATATGACAAACTTCTATATTATGGTTAGTTTCAGTACTTATAAAGAGCGCAAAAACTTTATTCATACCTGGTGTTTATATCAAACTAATATAAAACTTGTGCTTTTCATACAGATATTTTACTTAACCATAGCTAAGTGATATATGTTCTCACTTTAATTTGTAGCTGTTAACCTTAAATTTCTTAGTTTGGTATAAACATCGAGCGGGAGTAAGTAGTTATTGGCTGCTGTTGACACAGGTGTACAAGACTCACCAAAAGAAAATCCGTTTTCAAAATCACCACTACCAAGTATTTGAACTTCAACCACAAATTATGATATTTTTTAGGACATTGACATTGCTGGAAGCCTGGGATACATGGAGAAATTGAATATTGCTCTTTGATATGGATTCACTGCATTTCATGTTTCTGCAGTCCAATCATCTGATACAAGGAATTTTTTTCTCTTTTGTTTATTCAAGCATTGTGAAGTTGAAAATAAGTCTCCGCGTGGTTTGTTTTGTAGATGTTCCTGGATCTGTTGCATTTTGAGTTCCCGATCATGTGGACAGAGGTGGAGCTAGCCTATAGCGTGTGGGTTCAGCAGAACCCAATCACTTTTGCTTAAATATTGTATTTATACTAGGAAATTTATTAAATATGTATAAATATTTAATTGCAAACCCAGTAACTAAGATGAACTGCAAGTTCTTTTGGAAATTTAAAACCCATAAGCTTCAAATTCTGGCTTCACATCTGCATGTGGAGTGCTTTCTTTCTAAGTTGTGAAGCTGTTAGTACTATTTTTTCCAGTTTGTTGTTGCTGTATTACTTTACTTCATTGTTGTTTCTTTGGTTAAGAATGTACCATTATTACGTTGAAACTTAAAGGGTAGTCCACTACACTAAGCTCCCGCTATGCGCGGGGTCCGGGGAAGGGCCGGACTACAAAGGTCTATTGTACACAGTTTTACCCTGCAAGAGGCTGTTTCCACGGCTAGAACACATGGCCTTTGAAAGACATAATTCCGAGCCTGCAGACGAGCTGCTACGAATCTTATTTAGCATGTGGAATCTTTGAGATAATTCTGCATTAGAAGATTACACAACTTATGAATCCGTATATGTTACCTTTTCAAAAAAAAAAAAAAAAAGCTTATGAATCCGTATGTTTCCCAGTTATTAGCCTAAACGTTTGAAGAGGGATGATCATTAGACTGTAAAAAATAGTTTTAACCTAGTCATCAGTGCCCGATTACCTTGTTCTAAAAGAAACAGATAATTAACTTTGATAGGGTGATTGCACTAATCTACATTCAGTTTATTGATTTATTTAAATCTGAATACATGTTTCCTACAATTCAATGGAATATTCAAAATTTTAAATTTGATCGATTCAATATTTAGTGTGTTTCAGTGTAAGAATTCTTCTACACATTCAAAAGTAGTGGTTACATGATTAAGAAGATAATATCGTAGTACAAATTCTGATAGTATTTATGTTGTATTTGGTAGACATTTTTTATGTTATATGCAATACCAGTATACTTTGTACAAGAACATTTTGTTACAATCTTATACGTATACAAAGTAAGGAAATTTTTTTAAACTTGTATACCGTATAACTCATCGTTACTCCATTGAATCAAACATTGCTTAAAATGACTTGTCCACCAAGGGGCAGGGAAACACTATTTTTCTTTCATAACTGGAGCAGATCACTGAAATTTGTAATGACCCGATCGATCGTTTTGAGATTTAGCATTCTGTTCAGTGGTTTGAGGTCTTGAGTGGCTTCATATTGTGTATCATACTTGCGTGCATGGTTGGTTTCGGTTTTCGAATGATTCGGGATTGACTTGAAAGAATGGTTCTCATTTTAGAAGCTTGAGTTGGGAATATTGACCGAGGTTTGACTTTTGTAAAAACAACAGAAACGATATTTTGATGTTCCGATAGGTTCGTATTGTGATTTCGAATTTGGGCGTATACCCGGAATTTATTTCGAAGATTCATAGATTGATATGACTTGTTTTACCGAAAGTTGGCAATTTGAAGGTGTAGAATTTTCTTAAGTTTGACCATAGTTTGACTTATTGGCTATCGGGTTTGGATTTTGGTTCCAAGACTTGGAATAGGTCCGTTTTGTTATTTGAAACTTGTCTGCAAAGTTTGGCGTCACTCCGAATTGATTTGATAGGAATCAGACGCGTTGATGTGTGTATAGTTCTTGAGTTTTGATATTTCAAATGTTTTGAGGTCCGATTCGTGGTTTCAGATGTTATTTTGGGTGTTTTGATCACACGAGTGACTTTGTATGATGTTATTGTGTGGATGTTTGGTGTGGAGCTCGGAGACTCAGGTGAGTTTCAGACCCGTTTCAGAGCGTTTAATCGAGTTTCAGTTTTGCTGGTTTTCGGACTGATGCTTCAGGTCTCGTAAATGCGAGATCTAGTTCGCATTTGTGGACCTCACATTTGCGAGGAGGGCTCAACATTTGCGAGGTGGGCTGGGACTGGAGAGAGTTTGCATATGCGGACTCACTGACCGCATTCGCGATGGGCACCTGGGCTTGGGGACTTTGCGATATATGTATTGCATTTGCAATTGTAGAATACCTTGCTTGTGCAAGCTGATAGTTGCATTTGCGACATTGCTTGGGAAGGTTAGCTTCCGCATTTGCAAGCCAAGGGCCGCATTTGCGATGTCCGCATTTGTGAACCCAAGGTGGCAAATGCGACACCTGATGCGCTATATCGACAAGGCGAGGAGAAAGCAGCCTAATGGGAATGACTCCAAACCAAAGCAGCCCTCCATCTCGCATACAACTGAACTTATAGCTGGGATTTCAGGGCTTAGCTTCGTTTTATCACTTTTTGAGCCCTAGACTCGGTAAGAGGCGATTTTGAAGAGGGATTTTCACATACAACTATTAGGTAAGTGATTTTGATCAATTTATAATTATACTAAATGAGAATTTATGAGATTTAACATCTAAATCATGAGATTTGAAGGAAAATTTTGGGGATTTTGTCTATGTTTTGAAAAAATAAAAATTTGAGATTTGAGAGTCGAGTTGGACTCGGATTTGAAAACAAAACACATATATGGACTCATGGGGTTATGGATAGTCGATATTTACCCTTGGAAACGGGTTTCAACCGGCGAGCCTGGGGTTGACTTTTGGAGAATTGTGTAAAGATCTTAACTTTATTTATTGAAATTGGTTTCTCTTGCATTATTTGATGTTGCTAAATCAATTTTAGTTAGATTTGAGCCGAGCGGAGGTGAATTTTAGAGGAAAAACATTTTTACAGAATTGATTGAGGACTTTTGAGGTAAGTATCTTGCCTAATGTGTGGGGGAACCTACCTTGTAGGATTGGGTTTAATTGTACTGTTTAAATTATGTGGAAGACATATACACAAGGTGACGAGTATGTACACGACCTTATATTGGAAGTTGATCGATTTAGACTCTTAGGTTTCTTACATGCATTTAATTGAAATTATCGTATCATGTTATAACTTTCATTGTCAAGTTTACTCTAACATGCTTTAATTGAAGTTGTTATTACATGCTATCTCTTTCATTGTTGAGTTTACTCTTATATGTACTTGATTGACGTTGTTGTTATGTGGAATATCTTTTGTTGTTGAGTTTATTCTTTCGTTTCAATGTGTGGTTGTTGAGACTCTTGTATACATTGTTGTTAAGTTGTGGGGTATGCGTTGTTGTGATATTGGCAATATTGATGGCATATGGGCACGTGTGGTGCGCGTTGATATGTTGTGGTAATTGTGACTTGGGCACATGTGGAATTGTTGAGAGGATTGTCGGGGTATTTGCACGTGAGTTGTCCATGTTATTCTTATTATTGATATTTGCACATTCGACGAGACAAGGTGTGTATGTGTGTGTGTGTATATATCGGGTTTGCGCATGTGGCGAGACAAGGTGAGATAATTATTTATGCGCGTGTGGTGAGACAAGACATGCATTTACTTTATTGTTGCGCACGCGGCGAGACAAGGGGGATTTGTCAGGGATAATTTCTGATGCCCTGGGGGCATTGTTATTAATAATATTTGAGTGGTAGTGTGACTTCATTGTGTGTGTCATTCATATTATGGGATTTGTTGTGTTGTTTCCAATGTGTTACTTGGTGTCTCTGATTTTACCTATTAACTTGAGCTGTGATAGTAAACATGCACATGCATACACCGTAACATGTCACCTATATTAGTTTAGGAGGATGAATATTGATGTTAATTGATCATGTGCATGTATTCTTGTATATTTGCCTTCTGTGTGGATTGGACTGGTGGTACGTGAGTTGTCTGTGCAGATATGAGACATTGTTACTGTTGGCACGTGAGTTATCTGTGCGGATCTGAGATATTGATGTTATTGGCACATGAGTTATCTGTACAACACGTGAGTTATCTGTGCGGTTGTGATGATAATGTGGGTACGAGGTGCCATATGTATATGACTCGAGATTTAAGACTTGTGCTCTGTGGTTATGAGGTATGATACCTCAGGGTGATTCTTGTTATAAACCTGGTATTAGTACGACTTGAAAATTTGGTTATCACTTGTTTTTTTGCCTTAATTGGTTTTACTGGTACTTTAACTGGGTTCTGATTATTTTGCTGCGTTAGCACTAGGTTACTCCATGTTGCCATTTGTCGCTTTTACTTTCCATTGCTAGCTTTAAATTGTTATTCTTTCCATGTTTAGCTTTGTGTTGTTATTCATTCTGATGTTAGCTTTATATAAATACTCTGCACAGGTTATTATGTCTAGTAGGTGTCTTGACTTGTACCTCATCATTACTCCATCGAGGTTAGTCTTGATACTTATTGGGAAACGATTGTGGTGTACTCATACTATTCTTCTGCACAATTTTTATGCAGATCCAGGTACCTCAGAGCGTGCCGGTCTTTAGTTAGCTGAGTTTGTGCTACTGCGGAGACTTCAAGGTGTACCTTCCATTGCGTTCGCAGGTCTCAGAGTCACCTTCTATTGTCTTTCATTACTACTGCTTTCTTTCATTCCGGAACACTATTGCATTTAGAAATTTTAGTGTACTCAGTAGAGCTTATGACTCTGTACTACCGATTTTGGGTTTGTATGACTGTTGTTCAGATTCAGCTATGTTATTTCAGTTATCCGTTAATATTTTTCAGTTAAATTAGTTAATTATGTTACATTCTCTGCATGTGTTAGGCTTACCTAGTTCTAGGAACTGGGTGCCATCATGATCATTAAGGTGAGATTTTGGGTTCGTGATAAGTTGGTATCAGAGCTCTAGGTTCATAGGTCCTGCAAGTCATAAACAAGTTTAACACAGTCTTGCAGATCAGTACGAAGACATCTATACTTATCTTCGAGAGACTATAGAACTATTAGAAAACTTCACTTTGTTCATTCCTATCATGCAGATTTATTGATTTTGGAGTTTGAGCCTTTTGTTATTCTATTCTCTCACAAATGGTGAGGACACGAGCTACAGTTAGTGATGATGTCGCCCCCAGAGCCGGTGTTGTTAAGGACCGGAGCCAGGGCAGAGGTAGAGGCCAAGGAGGAGCACGCGTTATAGCTAGAGCACCTGCTAGAGTAGCAGTTGAGGAGCCACCAGTAGCTCCAGTTGGGGAGAAGGCAACTGAGACGCCTATTGCTACCTTTGGACTTCAGGAGAGCTTAGCGTAGTTCCTGAGCATGTTTGGTACAATTGGTTCAGGCGGGATTGATTCTAGTTGCACCAACTACTTCAAAGGATGGGGGGAGGAGCTGAGAC